TATTACTCATGCAATTAAAACTATATTCTATTAACTGTTCTATAAGTGTTTCAATAAAATAATTAATAGTAATTTGTCATTCAAAGCTGATAGAAAAATAGCAATTAACATTGAATGTTAGACATATATATTATGACTACAATAATTAAGATGTTTTCAATAAAATAGTATAGTTCCAATTAATCCTAAATTGCTAATCATTTCTAAAAATACTAATGAACGAACTAAAATATCACTTGCGTTATGCTACAAATTTAACATAAAATCAAAAAATTTTAATTTCACTCTGAAATATTTATATCACTCTAAAATTTTCCAGGCTATGTAATAACACTAACATAATTAAATCATAAATATGATGATAGATAAATATTATTAAGTACGCTATCGAAATACAGATCAGCTGAATTTTAACACTAGTTATTCTGTGTTATTAGGTATCTAAGAATAATTTTAGATTAAAGCATTATTTGTATTTTATTTGCTTGTTTTCAATTAAAATCTAATATTCTACACAGTGGATAATTTAACATATTTTTTATAATTTGCAAAATTTGGTAAATAGGGATAATTTATCATTTTCTATATGCCCAATAAGTCATACGATCAGGAATTATTATCAAATACATTTTTCAGATATTGAATATTATTGAATATACAATAAGGGTTTTGGAGGTTTGGAAAAAAAGTAACACTATGGTACTATTATACAACCAATAGATTACTGTTAGATGACATTTGTAGGTAATCTTCTCAAGTTTCTCAAGTGACTTATGTCATAATACGCGAGTGCCATACAAAATTTTATCCAACAGCAGAACTGTTTCATGTCCAATCTCAAGAATAATTTATTTAAAAGGATCTACCAGTTCTACTTTCATTGTTGCGAATTAATAAATTATCAGGGTGCTTTTATGTTACTATGCAATATAGATGTGCGTTTTTTGTTTTTTTTTGTAAATAATAAATAGCACTGACATTAAGACGTCATTTAGATAATTCGCGATTTTTTAACGATAAAATAGTGAATTATCAACCAGCAAGTCAGATTTTAAAGAAAATAATTCGGGAAGATCTTCCGCAAGAGATTATTAACCAGGCAGAGGCGGCTACAGCACAAATACTGCCAGAAAAGTCTGGTGGCGAATATTATAGGGAATTCAAGGCGTTTGAAGAGTGGATGAATGTAAAACATGCACAAAACATGTCAAAGGTATGAACGAAACTATCTTGCTTACTTACTTCTTTGAACTACAGACGAAATTTGTGCCATCATCCTTATGGACTAAGTATTCAATGCTCAAGTCGATTCTACAGATTAATAAAAATATTAATATTTCCGAATTTCCAAAACTTATAAATTTTCTCAAAATCAAGGGAAAAGATGATAAGCCAAGGAAACAAATATAATATTCTTTAATGTTAATGTTAATTTAAATAAATAATTGAATTAGTAATTTATAAATAAAGCTTAATAATTGCTATAAAATGATGTGGCTTTGAAGTTATACTAGTTTGTTATATATATATATATATATATATATATATATATATATATATATATATATATATATATATATATATATATATATATATATATATATATATATATATATATATATATATATATATATATATATATATATATATATATATATATATATATATATATATATATATATATATACTAGTTCTACACTAGTTTGTTATAACTTCAAAAACTCACGCGTGTGTTATTTATTTTATATGCATGCGTATACAAGTGAGTAATGTCTGTATAAGTATACAGGGTTGTTCACCACATACGACACGGAGTATTGTAGCTAAACGATTAGATTTTTACAAATTGTAAGTTTTGGGTTCGTTGAAGGACAATTAGAGCTACAATTTAAAAATATTTTTACAAGATACAGAGTGTCCCTTAATAAATAAAAATATCAAAGTTGTACTTTTTAAATGGAACACCTTATATATTATTACATTTTTAGTTTCTACATTTAAAATAAAAGCAGTACTTGATTGGTTTATTACACTTAAACCTTACCCTTTTTGAAATATTTTCAATTTTGTGAAATTGCAGTATAAATTTTAAGGCTTCATTTCTCCGAGGGGTATCAAAGTTTTTTAATACTAAATATTTACTGAAGTTTATTTATTGGTCAGTTGTTGTGTTGCAATAATAAAAACTTTATTACCTTATACAGAGTGTCTGTAAATTTATTTTAAATAATTACTAGCTTTAAAACGGCAATAACTTGTTTGACTTAAATGGAACACCCTGTATATTTCTATGAGAATCAGGTGCACAATCTTAATTGTCTATCAAATTGTGTTATACCGTTTTTTACCTATCTTCAAGTTTCAGAAAAATGCATATTTCTTGTAATTTAGAACTCATTTATCAATATACCCATGGAATACTGACATTTTAGATTATTTTTAAAGATGTACGGAATTTTTAAAGAGTACATATACTAATATTGTCGATATAGTTCGTGTTCATTTCATTAAAAATAAAAACTGTTTAATATTTGTTAAAGAGGACCAGTTAATATGATTCCAGTATTCAAACTACATTAATTGACTGTTTGCGCTGATTAATAATAATTGCTCCAAATACTAAAAAACTGAATTATGTATGTGTATTAGACAGTGTGGTAAAAAGTAACACCTTAAAAATGATATTTAATTTTTTGACAAATGCTTATTTATAACAGCAGAGACGTTCATTTCATAACTTATTGATATATTGATTTCTGATTCAAATCCACATTTATTTAGAATAATTTATTAACGAACACAATTAAGTATGTAGTTAATTATATTTGGACGGAAATACTGGTGGAATATTTAATTAATGGTATACTCTTTTATAAAGATTTAAATAGTTTTCTTTTTGCATACAAATGGGCTAGTAATATTATCGTTTTACTAAAAACGATAGTATTACTAGCCTGTACATTTTGTACATTTGTTGTTTTAAAAACAATCTAAAATATCAATATTCCATGGGTATATTTATAAATGAGGTCTAAATTATAAGAAAATGCATTTTCTACGAAAACTTGAAGGAATAGGTAAGAAGTGGTATAATGCAATTTGATAGAGAATTAAATTGTGCATCTGATTCTCATAAAATATACAGGGTGTTCTATTTAAATTAAATAAGTTATTGCCGTTTAAAGCTAGTAATTATTTAAAATAAATTTTTAGACACTCTGCATAAGGTAGTATAATTTTTATTATTGCACAATAATATAACAACTGAATAACACAATAACTGATCAATAAATAAACTTCAGTAAATATTTAGTATTAAAAACTTTGATATCCTCGGAGAAATGAAGCCTTAAAATTTATACTGCAATTTCGCAAAATTGAAAGTATGTCAAAAACGGTAAGGTTTAAGTGTAATAAACCTTAATCAAATTTACCTTTATTTTAATCGTAGAAACTAAAAATGCAATAATATACAGGGTGTTCCATTTAAAAAATACAACTTTGATATTTTTTATTTATTAAGACACTCTGTATCTTGTAAAAATATTTTTAAATTGTAGCTCTAATAATCCTTCAACGAACCCAAAACTTACAATTTGTAAAAATCTAATCGTTCAGCTACAATACTCCGTGTCGTATGTGGTGAACAACCCTGTATAGTGACTGTTGGATAAAACAATAAATTAATCTAATAAACTTACATCTGTACTGTTTCATGCTGACCATGTCGGGACACCGTTCTTTGAACAACTGACCAGCGATATTCCAATAAAAATATTAATAATAATAGTCACATCTTGCGAGTTGATAAAGTCTGCGTAACACTAAAAATAACTCTTACACTTGACATTTAACATTATTTTGTTTTTCGTTTATCGAAAATAGCCTACTATAATTATACGGATCACAGAAAAAGAATGATGGGTCTACACTGATTACGGATGCGACCGAATTGTTCAATGTAATATCACTATCGTACCGCATAAACTGTACTTTTTTATTTTGTTTAGACGAGATAAAGTTCATTGTGTTAATTGTTTCATTTGTTTAACTTTACGATGTTTTTATTTGTTTTAAATGCGTTTAAAATTGACTGGGTTTATGTTGTAATTGCTTTATACCGGGTGTATCACCCAGTCCAGATTTTAGATTTTAAACCAATATTATTTTAGATATCGTTTTTTTTTCCGATTTAGCTGAAATTTTGAATGCGCGTATAAGTAATTTAAAAAAAAATGAAAAAACACATTACTAAAAATTGTACAAATCAATAACAAATATGTAAAAAGTAAAAATAAATATGTAAAAATATGTAAAAATTAAAAAAAAACGATTAAAAAAAAGCCGCAGTGACTAGGATTCGAACCTGGCTTACTACGGCTCCAACGTCATAGCAGCGTAGAGTCCTAACGCTTTAACCACGCGGCCACCGAAGACTTGAAAGGTTCTATGTAAAATTCTTACTTAAAAGATAATGTTTAGTAAAAGTACTTTTTTATTTATAAACATTTATTTAATTCTGTTTTTAGTATTTGATCTTATAGCGGCAACATAAAGGGAAATTAAAACAACTTTCGTTGCACGTCAGCAAACCCCATGCCTCGTCTTATGGAGTTTGCTGGTGGTGGTATTATGATGTGCAACGAAAGTTATCTTAATTTCCTTTATATATACATTTTCTGTGAAAATTTCAACTGTCTAGCTATAACCCTTGTATATGACCCCTTATATTTTCCCACAAAATCTGCATTCGCCGTTGTTTCTCAGTGTCAGCCTACTGAGGTGTTCGTTGAGGAGACAGTGTCCTGTTAGAAACCCGTGACAAACCAAAGATTGTTTTTACTTAAATCAAGAAAACCTTTGATTTTTTCTCGGTCATAAGTTCTGAGGAACTTTTTCGAGTGTCTTAGACCGTTGGAGGACACCCATTCCAAGTTACGGGTGGAGTCTTCCAGATTCTTCAGTTCCGCTTTCAGTTGGTTCCCGTTTGGAAAACAGAACGGTTCTGGTCCAGTTAGTGGAGTGTTCGCTCCTTTTCTAGCTAGATCATTTACTATTTCATTGCCTTTGGCATAACTACCGACGACAATATGCAGTGGTGTTAGGTCTAGAATGACCTCCATTGCTGCTGTTGGACATGTTCTCATGGCACCTGTGATGCAGATATATGCCAGTCTCTGTACTTTGCACAGGTTTTGCCTTGCTGTACGGTGCTCTAGTTTTGTATACCAAGTAACTGCTCCATAAGTAATCATGGGTCTTAGTATCATGGTATACATCCAGCGCAAAATGTTAGGGGCGTAGCCCCACCTATTTCCCGCCAGTCTTCTGCATATCATGAAGAACTTTTGTGGCTTTGCTGGTAATGTTCTTAATATGCCTGTTCCAGAGAAATTTACTATCCAGGGTTATTCCCAGATATTTCACTTCCTGTAATGGCAGTATTTCCTGTCCATCTATATGGATTCTTTTCAAGTTTTTCAAACTTGGCTTTCTGGTGAATGGCACTACTGCGGTTTTATCTGAGTTAATACTCAGCCCGACAGTCCTGCACCATCTCCCAGCGATGCGGAGTCCTCTTTGGATAATATCATACAGGGTGCTTTCATGTTTTCCCCGTGCAATGATGACTATGTCATCTGCATACCCTATGCAGTGTATTCCCGCTAGAGTTAATTCTTCCAGTAGTTCATCCACTACCAAGCTCCACAGTAGGAGGGAGGTCACTCCACCTTGTGGAGTTCCTTGCGTTGTTTTAACAACTACAGTTTTGGTACCTATCTCAGCCTCTGCTGTTCGTGTTGAGAGCATTTCCCAAAACAAGTTTATGTGAAACATGGTCAATTTTTTTATATTAGAAATATATCTCAAATTTGCATTCTGCACTTTTTGTATTCGATAAACTTCATGAGCGTTTAGGTAGTTTTTAGAAAGTTTGCGAATATAATGAAGCACAATGAAAAAAAAAATTGGCGCCGGGAGGCACGTATAGCCGCCCATACTAAAATATGTTAATAAAAGTTGGTAGGCAGTTCTTTTAGTTTCAAAGTAAAGGAATTTTTCCTATTTTGGTCTGCGGTTATTTCTCCTATCCGCCACCTGGGGTCGCGTCCGTTGGGAGTTTGGAGTTCTCCACACGGAATATCTTAAAAACTGCGACTTTGACTGATTTTGATGTTATTACACATTTTGTTGTAAATATTATTCCTAATCTTAAATTGAAAACCGCGTTTCGCTAGCTACTTTAATTTTGGAGTTACGATTTTTTAAAATTTTTAACCCCCTCCCATACCCCCTTACCAACACCCCACCCCCACCAAAATCTAATGGCTAGATTTTCGGGTGCCACAGTATTTTTGTGCCAAATTTGGTTAAAATCGATTTAGCGGTTTTTGAGTTATCGTGTTATAGACGGACAGACAGACAGACAGACACCATGAGAGAGAAAATATTTTGTATTTAGGTCATTTATGACCCAAATACCTCATTTTGAGTGAAACTAAAAAAACCTTTTTTTGTCGATCATAACAGCCTACCATACCTGTTGGTATAACTTATTAATTGAATCTACATTGCTTAAGCAATCCGGTATGTCGTTGTCTGCAGCCAATTTACAAATACGAAAATTTTAAATTTTTTCCAAGTCAGTGTTTGTGAGTCTTGTTGTTACCATAATGATATATATTTTGAAAATAAGCCCTCTAAGTACAGTACGTCTGCTCGATCTGTGTCTATGAAAGGAATGAGGACAAAAAACATTTAAATAAACAGAAATATATATTTTATACGTCGACTTGACGAGTACGTCACCGCAAATCGCTCCGCCCACTCATTTTATTGGCTACTTACAAATTGTATAATTTTTATTGATGGGACGCGTCGTCTAATTTTTTACGAAAAACATCGAGAGAATATCGTTTCCCCTCTCACGGATACCCCGTAGCTACAGAACGGACAGACGTACTGTATGTATCTACTTTGTAAAGAGTTTAATTTTTATTGGATCTATAAACTTTTAATATAGCTTCATAATAAACAGATAACAACAACTCAGACGTACAATCGTAAAACATTATTTGTGTTATCGCCTAAAGTAAAAAGTGTGATTGTATTTTAGTATTCTAATTATTTTCTTGATTGCTACATAATATCTGATCAATAGATAATCTTCAGTAAATATTTAGTATTAAAAACTTTGATACCCTTCGAGAAATAAAGCCTTAAAATTTTTACTGCAATTTCATAAAATTGAAAATATTTCAAAAACGGTAAGGGTTTAAATGTGATAAACCTTAATCAAATTTTTTTACGTTTATTTCAATCGTAGAATCCAAAAATAGAATAATACTCCGTGTCGTATTTGGCGAACAACCCTGTAGAGCAAAAAATAATTATATTCATTACTTAATTAATTAATTATGCTATTTTTATTTTCCACTGCACGCCACTGTATAATAGATACACACTTACTCTATCAAATATGAATTCTATAGACATTAGAGGCCGTTTTGCTACTCTATTCATAACTAACGCACTTTGTACTACCTCAAGTATTTGAACTTCCTGCACAGTAGGTACTCACGTTAAAACCACTCCTACCGAGATTTAATCGGGAATATAACATTAGCCTAACCGCGTGCATTATACAGTGAATTTCGGAAGCCGGTCCTGTTCGCAAACCGCACGTACATAAACATACCGAACCCCAAAATGTTTCCAATTAAATTATTAAAGATTAATTTTACCTTTGCTCGGGGGCCTTAAGGTTAAGTTACGTAATTAAAAGGGTTTCACGCAACGGCAGAACTAGAAACCAACTTACGCGGCGTTGAAAATCGTCGAATGTACGTTTACACATGTTAGAAACTTTATTTGTAATAATATCGTGTTTGTGGTCGAGTTGTTAAAAGTTTTGTTATGGAGCAGATTTTAGTGTAACCGTATCTGGCGGTCAGAATTCGTCATTATTTCGTATATCTAAATAAACAAAATAAAGTGAAGCTTATAACTCAAGAACGGCAGGATTGATTTTAATGATCTGTGATTTGCTGGATTCGACTCCGCTTCGGATAGCAGAATAACTATTAGAATATTGAAAAAATTAATTCTACATTAGGAAAAAAATTCTACAGAAAATTTTCTCCCAATCACTTTAGATTTTTTCGAGGTGCAAACCTCTTGTGGTATTTATTGTACAAGCAATTGGTAATACTGGTATTTTTTTGGTACTAATTTGGTATTTTTGGTACTAATTTTTGTTTTATTTGGTAATAAACTGGTATTATTTGGTAATAAACTGGTATTATTTGGAAATAAACTGGTTTGGTTTGGTGTTAAACTGGTATTAAACAGGTATTTTCTTGGACATCTGGCAACGGTGGATGTGGATTAGACGCACGTGGCGACGGCCGATCGCATCATTTCTAGCCCATTTGCATTGAAAATTTGCGCTTTTTACACGATCAAAAATTTTTGGTGTTGACCTATTTTATATGAAGTATTTTAAAGTTTTTATATTTAGTGTTAAGTACCTACTTAGCAATAAAATATACCCCGTAATATACATACTTAAGAATAATTACTTGTGCCTCGAGGTTAGGTTGCTGGCCTATTTGAAAAATAGGTTATTTTTACCCGATATTACCTGCAAAGCTTGCAATTTTTCAATGCATAAAAATGCATAAAACCAACTTTTAAATTTCTGGCCTTTATTACTATTTTATTGT